TCAGTGTAATTATTTTCCTCCAGATTCAGTACTTGGTATTTATTCTCAGTTAAGTCTAGGAATCAAATATTATTGTAATGCCTAAGTTTTTAATAAGATAGAATATATTTTCATAACTTTTTTTCTTCTTTAAAAAACAGATAAAGTCTAGGTCAAAGTTTATTAATCACTATTTAACATGAAATTATGGGCCTTGTTGACAATGAACTTATTTAAGTAGACTTTTCCAATATCTATTCTTAAATGAGTAAAACCTCCTATGGTCTTTGTATCTATATAGTTTTTGTTTGGGGGAGTAGAGAGCAGTAATTCTGTGTGAAATTATAAAAATGATATGATTAGTAGAGGAAGTCTGGATTGTACAGAAAAGTATATTAAAGAAAATTAAAATTTGATGATTTCTAGTCATGTGTATACATACATATATTTTGTATAATATGAAACCATGTTTTTAAAAACTTTCTTGAGCGTTTTTCTCACATTGTTAAATATTTTTGAAAATAAGTTTTAATGTCTGAATGGCTCATATGTGCAGATGTACTGTTGGAAGTTTATCATGAATCCTGCTAAGATAGAAAATCTTTTAATAGACTTATTTCTCATATCTCTGCTTCCTATATATGATACTTATTTAATAGATTCCACAAATCTAACTGGAAAAGGGTCTGGGAGTTTCATCTAACAATGACAATGCTCCCTCATCTATTCCCCCCCCACACACACACTTTTTTAAGTAGGGACATTTTTATCAGTCAGTGCGCTTGTAGAATTTTTTTATCATAAAGTATTTTCTGTGCAGTATCTTTACTCATTGAATACATGCCCCATGTTTCTTTACTCTTACAGTTGAGGTAAATTTTACGTAGAGTAAAATGTACAGATTTTAGGTGGACGTAGTTTGTTGGCCTTGTGACCACCACCCATTTGAAATATAAGACTTCTTTCACTTGGAATCACTCGGTGGGCATTTACCTGCTACTCCCCCATGTGCATGGAGTTGTAATGATATCCCCCCGCTGCGTTTGCTCTGATCGAGGTTGGAAGGTTACAGAAACATGAACTCGCTTCTGATGGTCGTCTTGTAGTGGCCCAGTTTTAGATTAGAGTTACTGCCTCAGCTCCCACCACCAAGAAAGAATGTGTCCTGTCACCATCTCTCTCCTTTGTATTAGATGCTGAGTTTTTGATACCACCGATGATCAACAAAAGAACCCAGTGGAAACTGAGCCTGTTGGAGTGACGGCTCCTCGTTGGGAGGGCTCGGCAGAGAAGACGTTTTCTTCCCACCCTCAGTCCTCCAGGCCTGGCTGCCGAGAACCGGGAAAGGGAAGACTGTGATCTACCTTCGCATTGCCGAGAGCTGCTCCGTGCAGCAGACCTCTGCACACACCACGCAATTCTATTTTCTTTTATTTTGCATAGAGTTTTAATTCACTAAACTTTAATCTTTAGTCAACATAGCATCATTTTGTCAGGTTTAGTGTTCTTTTATTTAGTGTTTTTTGAGAGCATATTTCTGGTATTTATGATAAACAGGAGCTGGGGTTTCATGCCCAGTTGCAGGTCTAAGTCATATTGGGACCTTAGACAAGTCACATAATTAATTTGTGCCTCAGTTCATTGAGAATAACGTTTCATGGTTTCTACCTCAAACATGTGAAGAAATGTTTTTAAATTGCTTTATGTTCCTGGAAGAGAGCATTGTATATCAACAACATGGCTGTTAGTGCTACCAACAGTTAGTCACATTTCGTCACTTCAATGGCTTTTTCACCTTGAACTAAAGCAGAATGAAAAGCTAGCTGTATCCTTTGAAATACAAAGCTTTTCCCTGCTAACAGCTGTTATTTTGCAGTATCTTACCTGATTATGTGCTCCCAGTTATAACTGGGGTAAGCCTTCCATCACTACAGTGTCCACAAGGACTGTTTTCAGTCCTTGCCTGTGAGTTTTCTGCTAGAGACTTAGCAGAACAGAGTAGAATTTCTGAAACACATCATGCAATTTGTTATGGTGAGCAGTGTTCATCAGATGGCATGCACGGTTGTGAGTTACTCCTTTTTCTCCAAATACTGCATCTTTTAACAAAATGTTTTTGTCAGTGTCTAGACCATTTCATTTCTTTTTTCTGTATGGTACTTAACTGACCTCTATCTATTAGTTATTTTCTTTGAAAGAAATGAGAATATTTTCTCTTTTTGGTCAGTCTAGAAAAAGCTCATGTCATGTTGATGCTAGTTTTGGGGCTCTTAGGTAAGATTAAAAATTTCTTCCATGCCTTTAGTGCCAGACCCAGATCTTCATCACTATACATAAACTAACTGGAAATGCTGCTTTTGATTCTGAGTATAGGTATATCCAGAATTATAATTTCAGACTTTTCTTAATATAGCAAAATGTTAGCTGTAGAATCTAGGTGTGTTCCCTGTGTAATTCAACTTTTCTGTGTGTCTGAATATTTTCACAAAATAAAACAAAAAAGAAGAGATAAAGATATGTATATCCTGCTTAGGAGAAATTGGCTTTTTGGTGCATACCCATATGGATTTGCTGTAATTAAGTTCCCAACACTGAAAGGCTAAAAGTGCTTTGTGTCTCCCCTTTGGCATGGATAGATGAGCATGATAACTGCTATGACATTTTAATAAGTTTCAGTGCTCTTGGTGTGGGTAATAGTAAAGGGACTTGCTGATGGATTGGAAATACAAGTAAATGTGTCTTGATAATGGTGTGATTTCGTGGATGGTCAGTTTTCTTAAAATAATGTAGTGAAGCAACAAGAAAGAATTTGTGTGAATTCTTTCAATTCAGTTTACTATCAATTACTCTCTCTCTCATCGGAGCAAGATGGAATTTTGTTCACTGAGAAGTAGCAGGCGGGAGCAGACCTTTCAAATTCAAGGTAAAGTTGAGGAAGAATGCAATATGGGACCAGGAGGAACTCCTGGGGGTGGTGAATGCCTCCTTCTGGGGAAAGACTCCGTGACGTTTTAGAAAAGAGTATATAGCTCTTCCCCCCAATTTGGTTTGTGTCCCAAAGCAAGTTCATGCCCCAACCCAAGTTTGTGCCCTGACTAGAAATTGAACCCACAACTTTTTTTGTGTGGTTTACAGAATGACACCCCAACCAACTGAGCCACCTGGCCTGGACAGCCTTGGCACTTTTGACACTTTAGGGCATATCGTTCTTTGTAGGGAACTGTCCTGCGCATTATAGGTTATTTAAACAAATCCCTGGCCTCTACTCTCTAGATGCCACTATTTCATACTCCCCACTCCTGTTAGGACAACCAAAAACATCTTCAGACATTGCCAATGTCCCGTGGGGGTCAAAGTTGCCCCCGTTTGAGAACCACTAGTCTAAGATGATTTCCAAATACTTAGTAAAAGTATTCACCTCTTTCTTTTAAAAAAAAAATATATATATACTTTTATTGATTTCAGAAAGGAAGGAAGAGGGAGAGGAGATAGAAACATCAATAATGAGAGAGAATCATTGATCAGCTGCCTCCTGCAAGCCCCCCACTGGGGATCTAGCCCACAACCCGGGCATGTGCCCTTGACCGGAATCGAACGTGGGACCTTTCAGTTCGCAGGCTGACGCTCTATCCGGTTAGGGCAAGTATTCACCTCTTTATGAGGATTCTTTTTTTCTACAAGGCTGATTGTGTAAGGATTCATAAAAGTGCTTTGGAAAAGACTATGCAGTTGTTTAGCCTTACACTTTTTCATTTTAAAATACAGCATAATGGCCGAAACCGGTTTGGCTCAGTGGATAGAGCGTCGGCCTGCGGACTGAAAGGTCCCAGGTTCGATTCCGGTCGGGGGCGTGTGCCTGGGTTGCGGGCACATCCCCAGTGGGTGATGTGCAGGAGGCAGCTGATCGATGTTTCTCTCTCATCGATGTTTCTAACTCTCTATCTCTCTCCCTTCCTCTCTGTAAAAAATCAATAAAATATATTTTAAAAAATAAAATAAAATAAAATACAGCATAATGTTTAGGCCTAGGGAGGCCTGGAGAGTCGCATCCTCCAGAGATACCTTCCCTGCCTCCCCTTCATCAAGACCCTCAGTTTCTGGGGTTCTTGACTATTGTTCCTAGACCCTTACAGGATTTGAAGATAGTGTATTTCTATATGATTGCTTTCCTCTGTGATGCTACTTTATTTTATGCATTTTAAAATATTACTTAGGGAAAGGTACATAGGCATTATCACCCTGCCAAAGAGGTCCAAAGGTTAAGAATTAACCAAACTTCAACCCGCCCATCAGTGAACGTTCATACAGTGTTGACACGTGAGTGGTTTGGGCAGAAACTGACGTGAGCAGGACATAGCTCTTTCTCATGTCAGTGTACCCAACTCCTAGCTGATTCCCAATACTGCAGGGTAAGGCTGTCATCCTTGCTGAACTGTAGGCACTCCAGGTGCCCCTCGGGGGCTATCTGCTGCTCTTACTCCGGCTTGCTGGTGCCAGCCAGCGGTGCTTCCTCACCAGGCCAGGACCCAGGGTCTGCCCTGCAAGTCTTTCAGGGGTGTCTAGGCAAACCTGGAGGCTCAGAGGGTGGTTCTGGAGAGCTTCTCCCTGGGGGTGGTAGAGATGCCATAGCTCTCCTGTGAGTGTTTGAACGTGTGCCTTTGTGGGATGGGGGTGGGGGGACGGTGGGGGTTACAGGACACTCAAGACCGTAGTAAGACTTTTGGGCTTTTGTGTAAGAGAGAAAAGTCTAAGATAATGCTAGCAACTCTTGTAATCCCCTCCTGGAGGCCGGACACTGGTGTTTAGATGCTTTGTGGGAGGCTGAACCTTGACAGCATCCTTCCTATTGGTGTTCATCAGAAGGGATCTTGGTGAACTTAGGTGCATATATGCATAGCCCACGGACACAGTAGTGCAGGGAAGGCCTGAGATGGGGCAGGGAGTGGGTGGAGGGAGGCAAAAGAGGAAATGGGGGACATCTGTAATGCTGTCAATAAAAAGGGGGGGTCTTATATGTCACAACAGCATATAATCTACCATCATACTTCCCCTTCCAAGCAAATCTTAACAATACAGTAGTTCCTAAAGTGGGAAATACACAAAATAAGAGACAGCACCATTTTAGAGGTAGTCCTTCCACCCCCCACCTACCCCTTTGTGTTGGCAAATGTATATTTTAAGGCAGAGCTGCATGTATGGAGTTGTTCTTAAGTCAGGAAATAGAGAAACACACTGTGGAGGGGAACGGAGTGTTTAATGCTGTCGGAGTGAACGTGCTGGGCCTATGTGTGCGGTGGGTGCTCACCCAGCAAAGCTGATACCTGGCAGCCACAGTGACCATGCTTCATTCGCGTTCAGAAGCACCTTCTGTAGATGAAGAAAGGCCCATGTTCCTCATACTCAAAGCGGTGGACCCACAGTGGCTGGAAGCCATGGAGCGATGCCAGGATGGAGCCACCCGTCCACACTGCAGTCTCTCTCTCGGGCAACACGTTTACCTGGGGGGTGTCATTGGGACACAAGCTGCTCAGCTCCCGCTGCAGACGGTTAGGGAAACCACTGAGCATAGTGCTCCCCCCGCAGAGCAGGATGTTCCCCATGAGGTCCCGTTTGAGGGCGATGTCGCACTTGTTCAGGCAGGACACCGTCTGGGTGTGGAGGCCCAGCTGCATGGACCTGATCAGGGAAGGCTTGAAGAACATCTCGGAGCAGAGGAACCTTTCCTGGCCCAGGTATATCTGCTGCCCGTCCGGCAGGGTGTACTGGATCATATGCTTCGTCTCCGGGACTCTCTTCTCTTCGATGGGGTCCAGGGCCACAAAGCAGCATTTCTTCTTGATGTCCTCCACAATGCCCTTCTGGGCCTCGGTGAAGTGTTTTCCCGAACTGTTCATCAGGCCCATCAAGTAGTTTGTCAGATCAGAGCCCGAATAGTCCAGCCGCCCCGTGATGCTGGGCAGAGGATAACCTTCGTAGATGGGGACCACGTAGGACACGCCATGGCCCACCTCCACGACCAGGCCGGAGGTCCTGCCGTAGGAGTACATGGACAGGCGGGACTGGTAGGCGATGTGCATCGCAGGAGTGCTGAAGGTCTCAAACAGCATCTCGGCATACTTCTCTCGGTTGGTGTGTGGGCTCAGCGGTGGGTCTGAAACCAAGACCGCATGCTCCTCTGGGGCGATCTTCATCTCTTTATGGAAGATGTATTCCCAGATACCCTGCACTGAGTCCCAGTCCACGATGACGCCGTGCCGCAGGGGATTCACCAGCTTGAGACGAACCTCCGGATGGATGAGCTCCTGCCCCACGAAGGTCTCCTTGCGTCTGTCCCCAGTCTTGGTGGTCTCCATGTAGGGCTTGCCCACTGTCGAGGAGATCTTGTGGGTGGGCCTTTGCAGCCCAGCGAAGCCACATTTACAGTAGCCAGTGCCGAGGTCCACAACCACCGCTTTGGTCACCTTTACCTGGGGCTTCTCCCTGGCTTCTGATTTCGTGGACTCTTCTGGCTCCAAGCGGTTCCGGTGGACCCACACCGCACGCTTCGCTGGACCACACTTTAGGGAGGCCGTCTGGAGGGCCTCTGTGTTCAGGGAGGCCTGTTCGCCCTTCCCCTTGTCAGGCCCATCCCCTATGATCCTTGCCTGCGGAGCCCACATGCTAGCAAGAGCCATCTCGCTCTCAGAAAGTTCCTTGATCCCACAGGCTTCAAGGTCAGAAAGGCTGAAATCAGAGGGCAACTTTAGAATGTCCCCAATGATGACATCACCGATTATGACATAACTAGTGACCTGGGGCTTTCTAGATACTGGGAAACTTTATCCCAATGTAGGGTTGATCTGGGTAGTGTTTTATGGAGATTTACCCTTTTCTCGATTTTGTACTATACCTGAGTCATCCAGTCAGTATTTATTGAATGCTTGCAGTGTTCAGGCAGCTGAAAATACAAGACAGAGTAAGAAAAAGAAAATTCTCCCCCCTTTTAGAGCTTATATGCTAATCAGTGGGAGTTGTGGAGACACAGACAATAAGCAAATTATATATGTAAAATAAAGGTCCTGTTTATTAACATACATTTCATTTTCAAAATTGAGCTACCAACTGTTAAAGTGTGTCTACATTTTGGGGGGACACTATATATATGTAAGTATATGTATATGAAGATGTTAAGGGCAAAAGGGAAAAACAAAGGAGGGAAAGGGCATGGGGAGGGTGGCTGTGTTGTGTCTGGGCAGGGCTCCCTGAAAGTGACTGAGTGAAGACCTGCAGGAAGTGAGGGAGAATGCCGTGTGCATATCCGAGTGGCAGGTGTAGAGGACTGGAAGCAGACGTGTGTCTGATGCGTTAGAGCAGGGGTCAGCAAACTAGGGCCTGCGGCCTTTCTTTGTAAATTTTTATTGGAGCACAGCCACTTGTCTATGGCTGTGTTTGTTGAGTCATGGCAACAAAGACTGCAGTGGCTCGCAAAGTAGAAAGTAAATATTGACCACCTGGCCCTTTACAGAAAAAGCTTGTCAGCCCCCAAGTTAGAAGATCCCCAAAAGATGAGTGTGGCTGGAGTGGAAAGAGTGAGGAACTGTACATGAGATGGAGGAACTAGGTGGGTAGGGAGGGCCAGCAGCTCACATTGGGCCTCATGGGCCAGTGCTAGGACCTTGGCTCTGGTTCTGCATGAGGTCAGAAAACACTAGAGAATTTTAAGTTGGGGAGTTGTTACCATCTGACTTAGATTTTAGCAGAAATAATCGTTGTTGTGGTGATTGTACCAAGAACTTATGTCTCATTTGTTCCTTGAGACAATCTGCAGAGGAATTATTTTTGGACACATATTTGTAACATATTTATCCTTCATGTGGGTCTTTGGTTCAGCAATGAAATTTGACCCTACAGAGTCCCACTGATGACAACATTGAGGCTCTTAGGTGTGTAACTCACCCAAGGATGGTCCAGCCAGCCGTGGCCAAGCTCCTAACTACGACTTCTTCCCACGGGTGTGCTGTGGACACACCTTGATGGGACCCGACATAGGTCGCCCATGCCATCTCTGAAGCTGGGCATGTTGGTGCTGCCACCTGCCACCCTCAGGTACCCAGAATCTAACCTTATGTTGTGTAGCCACGTGCTTTTCATAAGAGGCAGTCACTACAGTGGTGGGCTTTCTCCTTTAAGACGGTTACTGGGGTGTTCTTGGCTCTTTGTGGGCTGTGTGTGAAGAAAAGGACTAAGTCCAGTCTTATGAGCCTTATGACTACCTGATGGAGGTGACTAAACTGTCATCTCAGAAACAAAATCTCAGCTTCTTAGTTCATTGAGTAGAAGGTGTAAGCATAGAATTTTGAAAGGATAGGAAAGTGCTTTTCTGAATGCCTGGCTACCTGAAAAATAGTTTACTTGCCTCTGCTATTCAGGGATTTCTATGGCCAACTTGGATTGTTTGACTTTATTTCAGAAGAACTTGCATGATAAGGCATATTTAACCTAGAATGATCTGTTTTCCTTCTCCTTAATCCCCCTCTTGAATTTTGAGAAATCTGTAGCTGCTTAGCACATTTCACTGTCCTAGGTTTCTGGGGGGGCCTCTGTTGCTGCTGTAATGAATGATCACAAATTTAATGGCTTAAAACATAAATTTATTATCTTACAATTCTGAGATGGAGGTCAAAAGTCGACAGTTAGTCTGAGTGGGATAAAGTCAAGGTGTGGGCAGAGCCCTGTTCCTTCTGGAGGCTCTAGGGCAGTGATGGCGAACCTATGACACGCATATCAGAGGTGACACGCGAACTCATTTTTTTGGTTGATTTTTCTTTGTTAAATGGCATTTAAATATATAAAATAAATATCAAAAATATGTCTTTGTTTTACTATGGTTGCAAATATCAAAAAATGTCTATATGTGACACAGCACCAGAGTTAAGTTAGGGTTTTTCAAAATGCTGACACGCCGAACTCAAAAGGTTCGCCATCACTGCTCTAGGGGCTCATTTATTTCCTTGTGGCCCCTTCCCTCATCTTCAAAGACTTCTCCGACTTCTGCTTCTTTGTCACATCTTCTCCGACCTGACTTGACCCTCCTGTCTTTATCTTAAGATCCTTGTGATTCCTTTGAGCCCACCTGGGTACTCCAGGGTAGTTAACCTTCCCATCTCAAACCCCTTAACTCACATCTGCAAAGTCCTCTTTGCCATGAAAGGTAACATAGTCACAGGTTCCAGGGATTAAGGATGTGAACATTTGGGGGTAAGCGGGGGGGGGGGGGGGGGGGGGGCGGGGGGGCGCGTTATTCTTTCTCCCTCAATCTCCACATCTGATTTGATGATCTAATGTAAATGCAGTTTGTGAGGCTAGAGATGGCACAGGAGCCGACCAGAGAAGGCCTCAAATGCCAGAGTAAGAGCTTGGATTGAATTGAGGATAGTTGGGGAACCAACCAGTTAGATTAGATTCTACCTTCTAAGTGGTTCTCAACCTTCCTGATCCCGCGACCCTTTAATACAGTTCCTCATGTTGTGGTGACCCCCAACCATAAAATTATTTTCGTTGCTACTTCATAACTGTCATTTTGCTACTGTTATGAATCGTAATGTAAATATCTGATATGCAGGATGTATTTTCATTGTTCGCGACCCACAGGTTGAGAACTGCTGAACCTGTCCCTTGTTCTCTTCCATGTTATCACAGCCCTAGTTTAGGCCACCTTCGAGTCTTATGAGAATTTCTTCAATTCTCTTTTCAGGTCTCAGAGTTTTGCACCTTTATTTTATCGCTAAACACAGATCTTTCTAAAATTATCTAGAAGTTAAATCTGACCACTCCTCTGCTTGGAGTCTTTCTAGTTTCCAGCTGTCTTCAATGCAATCCAAGCTCCTACTCCTAGCATTTGAGCCCTCCCTGGTTGGCTCCATGACCCCGCTAGCTTCATCCATCTTTCCAAACACCTGAACTACAGGCAGTTCCCCACCATGTCCCCCTCTGAGCCTTTGCTCAGGCTGTCCTCTCTGCTGGGGTTGCCTTTCCCTCCTCTTAACTACCTGACAGATACCCACGTATCTTCCAGAACTCGACTTAAGCATCACCTCTAGGGAACCTTCTGACTGCCCCCCTCCCATGAGTGCTCCCCTCTGTGCACCTCTGCTCTCCCAGTGGACTTTCACCTGCAAACTCCTCTGCATCCATTCCATCTTTTTCCCACCTAGACTGGGCTCTGGTTGTGGCTGAATTCCTATCTGTCACCAGCAGACTGTACGGGCTGGACCCACCACAACCCCTTTAAATGTTGGAGGAATGAAAGTGCTGTTGGGGCCCTCACACTCTTTAGGAGACTTGGTGCATTGAAGTTGCACCAAGAGCTGTCTGTTCATGGGCAAGTCATTGGAATTCTGAGCCTCGATTTCCTCAGCTCTGCCTACCTCGTGGGATTCTGTGAAATAACATGTGAGGTGTCCGGTGCAGTGCCTGGCTTACTGTCAGGGCTCAAATATGCATCACCCTTGCAGCCAAGAAGCAGAGGAAGGAAAGGTGTCCAGTCAGTGAGGAGGAGAATAGGAACAGGGAAGTAAGGGAGTAGGAGCAGAAACCTCTGAGACCCCAGTGTGCTGGCCACTTAGTATGTCCTGAGCAAAGTCAAGTTAGGCAGATGGGGTGGGATGGCAGATCATGGGTGCCAAGGCCAAGCCTCCCCTGACAGCTGGAATGGACCAGCCTCCAGTGACATCACAATCCTGAGTGGCCGCTGAGGCACTGCTGGAGGTGGACCCTCATTTCTCTCCACCGAGCTCTAGGATGTGGAAGCGAGAAAGGTGAACAAGGAAGGCAGATGGCAACGAGGAACAGCTCAAGCCCCATGCCCATGGGCACGGCTCAGGGTGACCCTGGAGAGGCAGGAACGCTGTCAGCTCCAGATACTGGCATTCGGGACAGAAGTTCAGCCACTCAGCTGAAGACGAAGCCCAAGTATGTGCGCAGGGTCAAGGCGCTCATCATCGACCTGGGCTCGCAGTACTGTAAGTGTGGCTACGCAGGAGAGCCGAGGCCCACCTACTTCATCTCCTCCACAGTGGGCAAGTGCTGCTCCCAGGTGGGCGACGCCCGCAAGAATACCTATGTGGGCCACGAGCTGCTCACCGTGGAGGCACCGCTGAAGCTGGTTAACCCTCTAAAGTACGGCGTTGTGGTGGACTGGGACTGCGTCCAGAGCATCTGGGAGTACATCTTCTTCACGGCCATGAGGATCCTCCCCGAGGAGCATGCCGTGCTGGTCTCCGACCCCCCGCTCAGCCCCAGCAGCAACCGGGAGAAGTATGCGGAGCTCTTGTTCGAGACCTTTGGCATCCCCGCCATGCATGTGACATCCCAGTCGCTGCTGTCCATCTACTCCTATGGCAGGACCACGGGAATGGTGGTGGAAAGCGGGCACGGCGTCTCGCACGTGGTCCCCATCTCAGAGGGCAACGTGCTGCCGGGCCTGGCACGCCGCGCCGACTACGCCGGGGGCGACCTCACCAACTACCTGCTGCAGCTGCTCAACGAGGCGGGCCACAAGTTCACGGACGACCACCTGCACATCGTGGAGCACCTCAAGAAGACGTGCTGCTACTCGGCCTTGCGGCCCGAGAAGGAGGTCTGCCTGGCCCTGGAGGAGCTGCGCGTGGACTACGAGCTCCCCGATGGCAAGGTCATCACCATTGGCCATGAGCGCTTCCAGTGCGCCGAGATGCTCTTCAAGCCCACGCTGGTGGGCAGCAGCCTGCCCGGCCTCCCCGCGCTCACAGCCACTTGCCTGGGCCACTGCCAGGAGGCGGGCTTGAAGGAGGAGATGGCCGCCAACGTGCTGCTGTGTGGCGGCTGCACCATGCTGCACGGCTTCCCCGAGCGCTTCCAGAGGGAGCTGAGCCTCCTGTGCCCCGGGGATAGCCCCACCGTGGCTGCGACTCCTGAGAGGAAGAGCTCCGTGTGGACCGGTGGCTCCATCCTGGCCTCCCTGCAGGCCTTCCAGCAGCTCTGGGTCAGCAAGGAAGAGTTTGAGGAGCGGGGCAGTGCAGCCATCTACACCAAGTGCTGAGCACGGCCCGCCAGGCCTCGTGGGCAGGCGACCTGAGGCCACTCTATAAATTTACAGAGTTTCACATAAACATTTAACACAACGGCTCTTGTCCAGTCTGGGTTTCTTGCTTTAGTCTGATAACAGGAGTTGGGTTTAGAGGTAGCAGCACCTTTTGCTCTGCTGGGTGGGGAGCAGCAGGGGTGGGAGGCCCCTGTCCTCATGAGGGTGACATCATCTCAGAGCCCCAAGTATGGCTTCCTGTTCCATTAGCTCCTCAGGGTTCAAAACCCAATTCAGCAGACACATGGCTTGCTCATCCGTCCAGGGACCACGTGGGACATGAAGGCTTGGATTAAGGGACTGGCTTGGGTATGTAAAGTGGTGGGGGGACACTCATAAGCAGGTGTTGACTTCATCTCCTGTCACCTGCCCATAGCTGCATCATTGCTTGACTGCCCCAGGCCCCCTTCCCTCCCTCCCCTCACTGCCTGCCCTCTTCAGAGGTGCTGCCCATAGGTGTGCATCTCCTGTGGGCGGGGCCATTTCT